GTGTGCCATCACTCAGCTGCCTCACGTCCGTCTTCCTTGACTTTGTTTCCTGCAAGGCGATTACGTGGTAATTGATGCGCTCTGCAGCTTCGAGAAGCGCGTGATGGAGTATGTCCTCGTTGGTGGAGTATGTCCTGGCGTTGTAGGTGCATAGCATGAGACAATCTCCATGGCGAGTCGTTGACGTGTCTTTTGATATTCTATATGATGAATATGATATTCTAGACTATCGTAAAACCTTTTTTTTTCTTGAACTACTCTCAGCGCATTGTCACCGGAAAGATTCTTATTAAATGATTTCATGCGGGATTGAAGGTTGGCGGTAACGATAGGGCAGTTAAGAGTAGCTCAAGCGCTGATTACGGTATGAGAACAGTAGCGTTGGTGGTGTCCACCTAGAATATGTTCGGTTGACTCAAGAAGAAGCGATAAGACTGTAAATATAAGAACTTGAACGGGAGAAATGCCTTATTTGTAACAGAGGAGTGTCTACTTTCATTCATCAATCCGAGTTATTACAAGCTAATTATTAACCAACCTGATCTTATTATCACAAAAATAACGGATTTAGTCACATTGGAAGAGAGAAGGGAATACCACATATAGCAGGATATATCGGCTGGTGTGTGCCGACTATTGACAGCCGATTTGACAAACAACAGTTTCAAAATTTCAGAATTAACGAAAGAACCCATAACAGAAGGAAGCGGGTAAGTTATCATCCAGTTTCTCGTTCACTATTACTCCTTGCAAATGTGCGTCTCCTCACAAAATATTCAGCAAAATCATCGTACAATGACGATACGCGGCGAATTCGTGACTGATATAATTCATCAGTCTCTTGTTCAAACCAATAAGTACATAATGTATAGGTCTTCGTCTAGATAAGTTCCGCGACCCCTACAGTTAAACAGACCTCTGCGTTATCAAGGCGATATTTGGGCTAACTTTGCTTCTTTGTCTTGTTTACATAACAGATGTTCAGATGGATATGTTTACCTGTATACTGAAAATTGTTGCCA